CAAATGTATTACAGACAAAATAGATTTATCCTTCACCAAGGACAAGTTCTGGCATTTCCTGCTTGGGAGTACCTCCTTTACAAGTTCAACATGCTTTTAACAGTGTTTCCAAGGATTGCACTGGAGATCATTTGGTCTGATTTAGCAGAACTGGCTGTAAAAATCACAGCTGGATCCCAAATAGGCTGTTAAAATGTCACCTGTGCAAACTCTGTTCTTTGCCATCTTTGCCACTACTGTGTTCCCTTCTAGCTCATCTTTCTTTCACTCGGTGGCACTTATGGTGTCCTGCCACAATCTACCCAATTTCAGATCCACAAATCTTGTTCCCTGGATGAGAATATCAGAATTAACTGTCAGACTGGCAGCACCGTCTTGATGTTTCCTATACATAATTATGATTGTTCCACACATAAAAGAAGTCATCCAAGAGTCATCATTGCCACCTAAAATATCAATGATACACGTGCATTATTTGGTAATTTAACACCTGTAACTACATAACAACCAGTTACATTTTTGACCAATGTGGAGCAGCCAACACAATTACCAGGCTAGAGTTTTATTGCTCTGTTTTTCAGTAATTGTTCATTTGTGTACTTGGACTATGTTTCTGCTCAGAAGTGTTTAGATACATTATATAACCATACAACCATCACCTTTCACACATAACATCTAAATATTAACAGTGTGTCTATGCACCTCACCGGGATATTGTGAACAATCATTAACATCTATAAGAAACTTTAAAGATGAAGAATGTTGTGTCATTAGTGTTGTCTATTTTTAAAATGAATAGATAGCATACGATACTTTCTTTTTGGTGCATTTGTCCTATTAATGTATTCCTCTCTCCTTTAGCGGTACTATTCAAACAAATAGGTATTTTACAGTTTGATATGAAGCAGCTTATTCCTCTATTCATTTGGTGATTCAGCAATTTTAGTAACGCCAGCCAAAACAAAAGCTCCAAAAAGACAGGAAAAGAGGACGTCCTCTTCTTTTCAATTGGGAAGATGCTAGTGCCTTTGTGGTACACACTGACGCGCTAACTCTACACAGTTAATTATAGAAAGTCCCATTCTCTTTCCCCGGCAGAGCCTTGTTCCACTGTTTAACAGGATCACTTCCTGTAATTCTAGTCAATACTGCTATCAACATACAGAACCTTTTCAGTATACAAGATTTTCTCTTTGTATTAGAGACATTTTTCTGGCTTTCTTTTATCACTCTCTCTCACCCCTCTGTCCTCAGCTAGCCTCTGTCTGTTCTACCCAGGGAAGATCTCGACTCCTCTCTTTGTTTCAGAGCTCTTCATCTCAGGAGACTATAACAAACCACAGCTACCTAAGTGTTTCCTTCATAAAAACCCTCAAACTGCTTTAATCTTATGTAAAGAAAGCCTCCCAGAACAACACTGCTCCTACCAGCTGCCTTCTCCTATTAAGGGTATAACACCTCTTATTTGCTCATAAAAGGGCCAATTCTCTGTCACTTAATTTATTGGGAAGAATCCAGGTTTTGACCAGAGATGACTTCTGAAACTCAGGAAGGGCTTTCTGTCAGTCTTTTGTTAGAAAGAAATTTAAAGTTTTAAGATCTGAAATTCTTAGTCTGATTTTGATGTGTCTACATCCCCGTTCTCTGGCAAGTAATCATGCTTCTCACCTCCATTTTTCATATCTATAAAAACAATAGTATGCATACTAATAATTAATACTTGCCTGTGATTCTGTAATTATAGGATAGATCTGAACCTCAGTGGTTTGCTCCAAATCCACTGCCTTCAAAATCTTTTGCAAAGTTCAGTCAAAATTAAATGGGAAAGAAAAAAAGACCACGTTTTTTAATAGGAACTCCTACTTAAAAAAAAAGTGACACAGGCATAACAGCTGCAAAAAACTTAAGCAAACACTTATTGACTCTAGCTAGAAAATTAACTGAAAAAGTTGATATTGCAATGTTGAAAAATATCTTTTTATTTATATATAGTCTAATTTGTTAATTTTATGCCTCTTATAGCAAAAAAGACATAACAACTCTGCCTTTTGGGGTAAATAGAACCCTTATGGCTACTAGTAACCATGGAAATATAAAGAGCTAGTCAAAGCCCAACATCAAACTAACAGAAGTGCTGAGCACCAGAAAACATGATGAATTTGCTACATATGAAAGCTAGCTGATTCTGTACCAATTGCGTTAACACACAATGGATCTGAATTGGTTTAAAAGCAGAGACAAAATGATGCTGGGAATAGGAATAGTAACAATGTGCATGAAAAGACTAAAAAAGGCCCTGTTGAAGAAGAAGGGTTTTCTCAGATTAAGATTGTAATTATGGAGATGATGCAGCCAATGACTAGAGACATCTGACTTAGTTTGTATCAAGCAACATCAAGAATGTTTTCTCATCATCTGGACAAAGCGCTAAATTTAACAGACACAGAAATACTCAAGACAAGCAATCACTCAGCTGATGATTTATTGACTATATGCCTTACAATAATAAGGCATATGTGTGTTTAACTGCTGTCTCTGTGATAGGCCAAACCCACAAAACACTGTTTAAGCAGCCACAATTACAGTCCTTAAACATAGGCATCCTCAAAAAGAGACATATTTGAAAAAAAGAAGAACACATATTCCTTACCATAATAACCAAGTTACGACCAATGGCAGTAGGAAAATATTTTCAACAATACATCTCCATATATTAAACCTTCTTGGAAAAGACAACTACTTACATATATGTAGTAAAAAAATACAACATACGTGCACATCACTTACACAGCGCTGTGACCCAAAAGAGACATAATTTTTCAGCATGATCAGCGCTAAGCTTATCCAGTGTGGCCAAACAGATCCTCTCTGACTGTCACAAACCTTAGCATCATTAGATAAACTGATCCAGTCCTCCGTCTTTGCTTTTCTTTCTCAATTCAGCCCCAATACACTGTTGGAATCAGAAATCTCTTCCAGTTCCCCACTTAGGAAGCAGGGCTTCAGGAAGGCCAAACTCAGCTCCAAGTCAGCAATATCCTGAAGCATAGTATGTACATGCCCAGACTATCATAATGGCAAAACCACACTCCTCAAATTGAGCTCAGCGGAGACTTGTGTATAGGCTGTAAAATCATTGAAAGAAGATACATGAATCTATTAGACTAACATCCTTAATGAAAATCTGATTTGGCCTTTTTTTCCTGTAGGTTCTTAGAATTCTGTGTATCATGCAAGATATGTCATCTTTCCTTCTCCTGGGCCAAGAAGGGAATGATAGATTAATTTTGCATACTTTTATGGTAAACATTATTTTCTTGTCTTCTTTGTTCATTTGTCTGTTAGTTTGCTAAGGAAGAAAATATATTGCCATAAATATATTGCAGACCTCTGTCCGTGTGACTATGTTGACCAAGGTTGTAAATAGTTGAGATATCATTTTAAAATGATTCCACCAGTAGTTATACTTGCAAAAAAAAATTAATAAAATGCCTTGGACAAGATGCAGGGAATCCCAGACACAGCACTGTAACACAACACATTAGGATTAGGACTAATTGTATGCCAAAAATAAATTACAGAGACGACCTGGGCCTATGTTAGCTGCATTAATGAAATATGCATTCCCTGTTTCTCTCATTTAAGATCTGCTGTTTCATCATACTACCATCTGTTTTCCCCATTTATCACAATTGTTTTTTAAGTCGTGATAAAATTTTAAATTTAGTATCTGGTTAGTGCTATCAAGAACGAAGCCACATCTGGATAATGTTTTCTTGAAACTCCTTGGTCATCTTATTTGTATCTTCAGTTCTAGAGATATTTGAACTTCAAAAAATCCATTACATTGAAATCCATTTTTGAAATGAGTAATACAGATAGAAAGCTAAGCCCTATGAGCTTTCAATAAAATGGACGCTTCTAAATGCCTAAACAATTTCTGAAAATGGAACAGGTTCCTATGTTGTTGAAGCACTTTCAAAAATAGTACCTCTCTATCTATTTTGCTGGTACAGTATCTACTGTACTGGAACCCACTCCTAATGAGAGTTACTACTGCACTATACTGTATTACTGCACTATTGCTGTAATTACTGCACTACTGCACTATTACTGTTATGCTAGCAATATGTTATAAAAATTATACAAAAATTATTGTTTATTACAAAATCCAACGGACTCCACAGGGTTACGCAAGATACAATTTACAGCAGAATGCACTCCTAGTGTTCCAAGAGAATTTTGGCTACACCTCATATTTCCATTCTGTGTGTCATGAATGAATTTTTCAGTAGCATTTGGGCACTCGTTAATTCAATATTCATTGGAAATATGGAAAGCTATAGGCAGGAATGTTTCAACAGAGGCTAAATAATAGAAGTCTGTTTTTCAAACTTCATATCATCTATCTACTTTAATTACTGATTATCTTAAATGATTATTTGTGGCATTTTAGGACTTTTACCCTGTGAACAATATACAATATCACAAACAAAAAAGACAACATGAAAAGAGAACTGGATGCATCACAGCAATATCCTGGCAGAAAAAACATGACAATGATTTGTATTTTTATCCCATATTTTAGTGGAGAGTCTTGAGAGACCTTAAAAATATTTAAAATGACCTTTGAAGCAATACCCTAAGACAAGTAATATTATCCTCATTTACCTACAAATAAACAAAAGGCATGAGATACAGATTCGTAAATACATTTAAGTAAATAATTCACACCAAAAAGAAAGGATTTAATCTGAAGTAACTTACTGAGTCTGCGACAGTTTTTTCAAAGTCGTCTTCTGTGTCCTAGGCATGAAATCATCCCGTAACTTTTAGTGTTAGTAGTGAGTATTCGCTTAGTAAATAGGAGAGTATGTACTACTAAATACAAAAGGAACCTAATTGTGCATTGACAGGCTATGAACATCGACAATCTTGTAGCTCTTTTTGAGGACTGCATTTCATTACTTGCTATTAACTTGATTGGCGCGCTTACTTACAGATACTGTCTCTGGCTTGAACAATAGCTTTGCATCCAGTTCCCAGCACAACACATAGAAACCTGGAAAAAAAAACACAAAAGAACATTTTGTTCTTCCACCTGAAGATCTGATCCAAAAATCTCTTAACGAAGTCTTTCAATTGACTTAATTACCTGTAGATCAGATCACTAAAAGTCAGAGCCACTCAACTCATGATTTGAACAAGCTGCCTGACGAAATGAATATATTTATCCACCTTTACTAATCCTTCCATGCTCTGCATTTATATATGTAGAATACGTACTTTTTAATTTTTTCATAAAGATTTTGAAGTCTTGTAACACTTCATGCACCAACAGCTGATACTAAACCATAAATAATACATTAGACAACAGTCATTAAAAACCGCAGTAAAAAGAGCCTGATGAAAATAACTGTACTTACAGGGATTATGTTAAATTTAAATAAAATCATACTAGGGATGATATAATTCCCTATGGTATTTGATTATTTCTATAATAGCCAATGTTCTTGTATATGTTATGATAATGTATTTTTAAATTATTTTTGCCATAATTGCTAGGTTTTATTTATGACAGGCTTAGCACTTTGAATTCAAAATTAAAAGAATTATGTATGAAAAGCTTCACATTACTTTTTTGCCATCAATGTAATTAAGTGTGACATGACATAAGGATTACAGGAGCAAACCCAAGGAAATTCAAAATAATTGTCTACAAGCTGCTTCAAACTTGGAGTTTGAACTGATTAAAAGATCAAGTTTAAAATAACAGTAGAAAAGCACATATCTACAGGATGATTATTCTCCTAAAAAAAGTCAGAGAAGGCTTTTAGGACAGAATTTTTTTCATTGAATGAAAAGAGTTCTAGGCACCATACCGACTTTGACATGGAAGCAGGCTCCATTTGGTTCAGCTCTCTGAGCCAGAGGGCCACCTGATCATATGCATGTGAAGAACCCCTGAGGAGGATTTTATTTTGTTGAGTGTGGCAAGTTTACTTGTCATTACGTTGTGAAGTCTCCCCCTATAATCTCTCACATTGCTTCTCAATCTTTGGTCCAAGTGTTGGTCTGTAGGATACCTGAAGATGATATAAATATTTTCTATAAATACAGACACCTTCCCACACATTCAAGCAAAAGAATGGAGAAAAATGAAAGTAATAAATGAATATGCAAAGTGTATACTAAATTTCATTAGCTATAAGTGAAAATCATTGAACTAATTGCAGATAAGAAGTGCAGCTGACCACAGACATTTCTTGATTAAAAAAAAAGACAATTTTTTCGTTTGTCTGCTCATTAAAATGTCTTGAAAAGCACTAGTGTAACAAATCCTGGACAAACCTGTAGAACTCAGAGCAAGCTATAACTATCTACTTAGACCCAATCACCTGCACTGCTTTTGGCCCGTGGACTAGCCTGTCGGTCCCTTGCTCATCTGGCAATAATGAACATTTCTGTCATGCTCCCTCCACTCACTCTGACTGACTCCATGTCCAAGCCAAGGCTGCATTATTTCATTTCCAGGAAACTTCCACAGGACTAGTTTAAGAACAGTATGAATATTATCCAGACTAGCCCTCCTATTCACTTCTGTGTTTGCCTCCAAACACCTATTCATGGATGAAGTGGATAGGTCTTTGCTACATCTAGAAGGAAAAATATAATAGGTCCCCTTCATGCTCTTTCTGAACCCACTGGGTTGAAGAATATCTTTTTCCCCTTTGTTTTGTCTGAGAACTAAGGTTTTTTTTCAGAAGAAAAAATATTTGCTCCCAAAGAATAAAGACATAATTTCTATCAGTAGACAAAGTTTTATACAGGTCCTCATTTTAAAGTCTGTGACCAGATATTGAAATACGAACACCAGATGGAATTCAAAGAAGTGCAAGGTACAATAATAGTTAAAATATATGCCACTCCCAGTAACATCCACATAATTAATAATCACGTTCCTGAAGTCACTGAAGTGGGTGTGGAGAGGGTAGGACCTGTATCTGATGTGGTTCCTTTGCTTCAATCACAAATTGACTGCAACACAATAAAGTCAAGATGTACATCTGGAAAGACTCATGGCAAACTTCATTTCATAAGACCTACAGACTCAGAGGCACATACCACAATAAAAAGCAAGTTGGAACTCTGGGCTCCCACTTATAACATCAGTTAGTCCAGATCATCCTGGGGCTGCAGCTGTTTGGGTAACTTCAGGAAAAATGAAGGGGGGTGCGCAAGTCCAGCATTACAGTGGAGCTGCACAGCTCTAGGAGCACAGATGAGTCCCATGATGCAGAACCCCCTGGTCACCACTGATAGAGGAGAACAGGAGAGAAGAGTGCCCTTCACTAAGTCCCTGCCATTGGAACCCAAAAGGTTGCAGGCACAGTGCTGGTGAGAATCCATTCAGTATGTAACACTGGTGCTTGCGATTTCAACAACCAAGGTCAGCTAAACGTATGATACACAAATGAATGCCAGTCCACTAATGTGTGAAATAAAATGTGCAAAGAAAAGTAATTTTTAACCTTAGTACTAATCACTACTTTCCGTAGCTAAGATAATTCTACGGAGAATAGGGCAAAATTATCCATATAGTACCTGTGCTCATCAGTGTGACATTCTGGTACCTCCCAGCTTCAGTTCCTACTCTTCACATATGCAAAGGGAGAGAGCTCTTGAGTGTGCAAGCTGGGCATCTACATCAGGGCTCAAAGGCTGGTAGGGCCCAGGGACTGCCTAAGAAGATGGGAAAAAGTAGGGACAAGCACTGGAAGCTGGCTGAACAGGTAGCTCCACTATGTTCTGTGAACAAGAGTCCAATGCCTGCTATATCACAACAGAGCCCATTTTTGTCCTCTCTTTTCAATCATCCTTCTCCTACACATCTTTAAGCATAGGTGTTTTTAGCTTCTAACATCACTATTTTGTCATCTTTTAGAAAAGATTGGGATTTGGCATTCTCAAAGAAAGAAAAGGACTTAGTTCCTTCTTTCTACAGAGATAGATGAAGTCTTAGAACTTTATGGCAATAGGCAAATTACTCATATACCTGCTAGACTCCAGAATTAGGTTGCAACTTGGCAACCATTTCCTACTTATGCAATGTAAATATTTCTAAATGGATCTAAATCATGTAAGTAGCTTGCCTTTGTATATAATTAATTAACACATACTGTCTTTTCTGATATTTGTGTTAGTCACTGGCTTTTATCCCTGACATACGTTACTATGGATTCCTTTTAGATGCCTTTCTCAGGCACTGAAACGGCATCTTCTTTATCTGCAATTTATGGCATATGCTGTATATGTAGTTTGATCACATCACAGCAAAACATTACTATGGACTAACTTTAATGCTGCTGATGCACTGATCCTTTTGACATGAAAAGGATAGAAAATGTACATGGAAAAGACAACATGCTAAGATGGAATATGAGTGACAGAGCACAACTATGAGAATAGATTTTACACGACCATATTAAGTATCCTTGAGATTGTAAAGATGTCAGTTAACGTAAAGCTCTATTGCGCCAGCTGCTGTCCAAATAGGTCACAAAATGGAAGTCCCTAGGCTGAGCTCGTCTTAAGATAGAGCAGCTGATGAGTAAGATGGTATCTCTCATATAAACGTCATATTTTATGCACTAAGACTTTGCATTGTCAAATATTCCTGGGATCGTTCTTTTAACCAAGAAAAATCTGCAGTACAACAAAAGTATCAAATTGTTTGACTTTTCAGGCTTTTGAGTGCAGTTGTTATTTTCATGCCACACTCATAGAAACTCCATTCTAGTCTCCTTTGTGATTCATGAGTTTGGCTGAAAAACTTTCCTGGCACTCAGAACAAGTGGGGAACCTTCCTTCAGTACTTCCTGTCTTTCTACATAAACTAGTAACAAGACGGAGTCCTCTCACCTTTCCCATTTACTACAGGCCAGACATATCTTCTGGTCGACGTACCTCTGAGCCCCATAAAATAGTCCACTTTTGTTCTGTTTTCTAATACCAGATATCTTCTCTGGCAACAAAAAGTTTATTTCTCTAATATTAACATGTATGAAAGGCTACAAAGGGCTACAAAGGCTGATTAGGGCTACAAAGATGATGAGGGGACTGGAGCACCTCTCCTATGAAGAAAGACTGCAAGAGCTGGGCCTGATCAGCCTGGAGAAGAGAAGACTGAGAGGCGATCTCATCAACGTGTACAAGTATCTGAAGGGGGAGTGTCAAGAGGATGAGGCCAGTCTCTTCTCCGTGGTGCCCAGTGACAGGACAAGAGGCAACGGGCACAAACTGAGACACAGGAAGTTCCATCTGAACCTGAGAAAAAACTTCTTCACTGTGAGGGTGACAGAGAACTGGCACAGGTTGCCCAGAGAGGTAGTGGAGTCTCCTTCGCTGGAGATATTCACAACCCGTCTGGATGTGATCCTGGGCAATATGCTCTAGAGGTCCCTGCTTGAGCAGGGAGGTTGGACTACATGATCTCCAGAGGTCCCTTCCAACCTAAACGATTCTGTGATTCTGTGAAAGCAGACTGCTTTTCAATAGACTACTTAACGTTTGTCTGTAGACAATGGAGAAATCAAAGCTCACTGTGAGCATAAAAGATATATTGCTTTTTTTCTTTAAAAGACAGTTCCTGTTTGCAACTTATCACAGCTTTGAAAGCAAGTTACCTTAAAACACTGTCAGGAGTATAGAAACATGTAATGTTGACAGAAATTACAGCCTATGAAATGCACTTACTGCAGGCCTTACTCCAAATGCCTAATGAAATCAGTATTGAAATCAATGAGAATTCTGACTGTAAGAATTAACTAAAGACTTTAGAATAACTTCTGGTATATTTATAAGATGAAATACCCCCCAAAATTTCTGTCCCACTGCCATACTACTTCTTGTCAATCTGGACATCCTAAAGGAACAGATTCAAATTATACTATCCTTTAATAAGCCCGTGGATTGTTAAACAATCTGTTTTTATTAGCTTTGTTAACACTAACTGAAAACAAAAACAAGCTGCTAGCTTTTAAATATTCCATAGCTTCTTTTCAGAATGTGTGTCCCAGGCATCATGTTTTCCCCTGTATTTGGAAAATAAATAATATGTTCTATGCAACTCATTTGAGAAATAACAAGTGCTGACTGGCTTACTGAACTCTTTAGAAGGCTGTCAGCAAGGTACTCTACTTCTAATAGTAGCTTTGCCCGTGATTTAGTATGCAGGTGTAACCCTGGCCAACTTATTTAATAACCATGTCTATTTTTCCAATCTGTAAAAGGGGGATAATAATACTTCCTTAATTAATACAGCCTGTGAGTGTTAATTAGTTAAAGTAACTCTAAAAATATTTAGGTGGCACTTACAGTTCCAGCTCCCTTTCTCTCTATCTGGTTCTGGTTCTTATCCCTTAAAACAATCAAATCAAGATTGGTTCAAAACCTTCTCTGGTCAGTTCATTACCAAATGGGAAAAGTCTTCTTGTTACTTTCTATCTCACTGATTTTCCCATTTCAAGTCAAAGCTGCCTGTGTACTGCCTTGCTCTTGACTGTTCTGCAAAACGTAGCTTATGGATTTGACAGCTTCTGCTTTTCTTATAATGAAGCCTTATTACAATAATACAGTAAGCTTTGCCCAACTGGAGTATTCTTATTCTGCTGAAATGCAGGAACTGACGCTGAACAGAATTTCTTTCAGTGCTTCAAGCATACCACCGTTGAAGTGAAGTTGCCACTACTCTCCTAAAGAAACAGGCTGGATGAGAAACGAAAAGAGCTAGCTATAGATTTTCTTGATAGTAAGAAAGAAACAGATTACTCTGATTCAAGGATGCAGTGACAGCAGACCATACAAAGCTGTGACATCCCCTTCCCGAAAAAGACAGTAAGACTCCACACTGGATCTTTCTGTCCTCAATAAACGATGAAGTAATGTGGCCATCA